GATTTTCAGGCGAGACGACTGTGCCCAGGACACCAGGAGCTAGTTTTAACCAGGGAATGAGATGTCAACATTACTCGCTCCCTCGCGAAGGAGTACCAATTACCGGACTGACAGAAGATAAACTTCTGAATGATTCAGCCTACTCCGGTCAATGAAGACGTTCAGTAGACGATGCTGAAACTTTCAGACGCTCCAACCTTCGATTTACAAACGCGCGAGCGAGACTTGCTTCGAAAGTTGACAGGGTATACGTCAGAATTATAGATACATATTTGGACGATTCTCCATAAACGTAATAGTTTATTTTTACTTAAAAAACGCAAATGTCCTACAGTTACTTGGACCTTCGAAGAACATTGTACTCTTAGGTTACTTTGGGTATTACGACTGACTTTGAGATTGAGATTGGCACCCAAAATGGGCACTTGTTAAGGGACTAGTTAAACTCTTGAACTCGGAAACTTCGAACTCGTAATTTTGGTAGTGAAGTTCTGGTAGTCTGAACTCGTTAAAATTACTCTGGAACTTCTAGCATTAAAGTTCCCATACGGGCCGTAGTTATATCTAATACTTGCCATTGTTATACTAAAATATATATTCCAGGACTGTAAAAATAATTATCAATCCTTTGGAAACCATCAGTAATTCTTGGGGCTTAATTCAGATTAAAAGAGAAGGAAATTCTTGTAGACTTTGTTGGGTTTTATTTTCTATTATACGGCGAGCAAAAAGTCTGGCAATTATGTCGAAAGAAACGGAGACGAATATATTCCAGCTCGTGCATAGCTGAGACCTGCATTTCGGATCAGATCGGACGAAAGGGGTCTTAACAAAGAAAGTGGAACCCTGGGTAACTGAGACGGGGCGCGTTTACGTAAAAGCTTCCACCCTACTTTGTAAAATCTTCGAACGCCCGACGGACGCACGTTCGCGACAGATTCTCCGGAGCACGTATTTCAATCGAACGGTTCGTTCGCTCGCGAAAGTATCCATTTGCCCCTCTGGCTTTCGTATAAAAGCGAATCAAACGTCGACGATGAGAATTTTTGGAGCAGAGGACGAGAGAAGCAGCGACAAAAGTTTCAACGGGCGTTGACGAGAACGAGACGGATACAAATTTTCGCAGGACTTCATGACCAAGTTTTCCTTTGAAAGTAATGATGGAATTAAACTTCATCAGCTAACGAGAGGCAAATCTCTTAGCAAAATACTCTGAAAATGATAAGAAATTAAAAGATTAAGAGTACTAGATCGCAGAGACTCGTGACACTTCCCACACTCGCCAGCAGAGATCTACGCTCAACTTTCACTTTTCTCGCAAGTGCTCGATCATGTATTCGTATATATTCCTGGATTGCTTCTTCCTAAACATACTTCTACGAATCTGAGGACCCAGTTCACCTAACGAGTAGCGAAGGTTCACCGTAAATGGGAACGAAGGTACTTTGGGTGGTCCTCGAGGGTAAAAAGCTTGTTGCGGGCCTATCTATTTATACGAGCGGAACAAGGTTACGCGATACATTTCCGGCCGCGGCGTCCATAAAAGGGAAGGGGTGGGGAAAAGCGTCGAGGGGTCGTTCGCGTTACGATTCCCTCTCGCATCCGGGGCGGGCAGGTACGTGCGCTAACTCCCCGGTTCGGATCGTCCTGTACACGCTCAGGCATTCATGTCCCATACATATTTATGCCGGTCGGGTGCACGTAACAGGTACGCCGTTCTGTATACAGGTATAGAAGGCCGGAGGTCTGCGGGTGGCAGGATATCATGGAGAACATCACGTCGTGTCGGGGTGTGATACGTTTGTTTCGTAACTAGGCGGGTAACATTGTGCCCCGTACACGTCGCATGGAAACACCTGCACGTCGTGGACGCCGCTGTGGCCCGGTCCTCTTCGTCATCGTGCACGAACGGTTATCGTCGGCTGCTATCCTGACCGAGGAACAGAGGCCTTCAACGGGGGCATATCGAGCCACGACGCACGGCAGCCTTCTGTCGTTTACACGTCGCCTCCCCGACCGCGCACAGTCTTCAATCTACGGAACCCCAGCCCCCTGTTTCAAACCCCTCCTCCCCAGGGGGAATCGATGGAACGATAGACTTTCGACGTCTGAAAGGACTCTCGTAGCTTCGGTGCATTGCGGCCAGATCGTGTCCGCGATGCAGTTGCGACAATTGCGGGTGTCGTGCACCCGGGGAAACGAGACGTGTGTTCTCAGGCCTGATTCGACACCTCTGAGAAACATATATGTTCCTTTCGAGGGGCTCGACGGGTTGCAAATTGTTGGGAAAAATTGGTAGTCGTGATTTTCTCGTTCTGGAAGTCTCTCAATGAGAGCTATTGCTTTTAGAAATATTCTATTTTAACCCTTAAGTGGATTCTCGATCTCAACTGAATTATTTTGCTTAATTGGTAAATGGAGATCAACTTTTCATTAAAGCATTTAAAAAGTAACGAAAGAGTGTAATTTAGAGTACGTTACGATGCAGAATAATTTCCATTAGAGGTTGAAACCGTGTTAGAATAAAAAGTGAAATACAGCGAATCTGCCCGGACAAGTGAAACAGGTTCACGGTTGGTCAGACGAATGAGATAGAGGCTATCTTTGTTGACCAAATGAAAAATGCTATAAGGACGTTCTGCGGACAGATAAGTAGAATAGATACCACCTGAGCCGGACAAATAAAATAGCGTTAACCTTAGCCAGATAAATGTGACAAAGACGTCCCGCGGATAACTAGTAGAAGAAGACCGTTTCTGGTCAGACCTAGGAAACTGGAATCACTTCTGCTTAGAGTCTTCCTAAAAAATGTTCAGGCGTGGTGCAAACGTCGAAAATCGTTTCTCAGTTTCCAGCAAAATATTTTCCTGGCCCCCCGATAGAAATAACAAGTTCGCCAAGAATTCGTATTCGTTGAAGGCGCTGCATCGAACGACGGGGAAGGTATTCGTTGTCGCGGAAAACATATTTTCAGAGAAGCTGTAAGAAAAGGGAAGAAATCGAAGACCCTCTTAATCACCGTCTCAAAGAGCCGGGTCCGCGACCGCAAAAGTGCTGAATGGATCGCGTGTCTCGATGTTTCTCGAGTGTCGGAGACGGCGTCGTGACGCGGCAGAAGTCTCGCTCGGGATAATGAAAATGTGTCTTCCGCGGGACAGACGGCCGGCAAGAAAGACGACAAAGCTGGCGAGAGCCGTTTGACGCGAGCACCGCGCGCTCGCGACCCCGGCGAAGAAGAAGAAAAACTTGGAAAAGAATCGATAAACCCGGGGCCACCCTTTTCTCTTCGTCCTCCCGTCCAGGACACGCGACGACGACGACGACGGTGCTCTCGAGGGTGCGAAATTCACCCGACATCGGATACGACCTCGCCTCAAACGCATAAAGCACCTTCGTAATGGACCCATTCACCCAAACTATGGTTCTGTCCCCGACGAACGTCGCTTCGACCCTTTCTTTCGCGAGATCGCGTTTCTCCACGCTGCTTAAAGAAACAGACGCGCATTCAACGACCCGTATCGCGAGTGGTTGCCATTTTTACATTGTCTCCCGTTTCTCTTTCGAGCCGAGGCAATAGTTACTTGATAGTACGTTTCAAGGACCACGATACAGAGTCTTCCAGCAATTTTTCTGGATCATATATTTATTTTGCTCCAGTGAAATTCTCTGGACAAGAGATCCCGCAATCAGACAGTGTGAAGTATCTAAGTATTCTCTGGAGATACTCCAAAGATTTCGTACTGAATTTCATCGTTTTTCCAATAGCACAAACCCATAGTATACGAAGGGACACAAGAAATACACTCTCTAGAAGTTATTACAAAAGAAATATATTTATTCAACGACTTATAAATGTTATACAACAGGGAATTATTTATATCGACGAAATATTTGGCCAAGATCGTGTTTTTCGACAAGTTTCGCACAAGCGTGGGATCGTACGTGTGCTCGAGGAAGACGTTAACCGAGCCGTCGACCGAAGTTACAGGCTATTTATCTCCGTATTTTTATTCCGGCGGGTCGAGCGATATTAAATTGCTTCTTTCGTGGCGTCCGCCAACCCCTACGCCCGCGCTCGCATCCGGGAACGCTCACCCTCGTCTGGCCGCGGCCAGCCAGCTGACTGCCAGCCTTATTTCCTATTTCTTTGGACGCGTCTACGGCGAGCATCGCTGGATACCGCGGAATCGAGGAAAGAGAAAACACCGTGTCCAGGAAATAAGAAACGGCCACGAACCGAGCGCAATAAATATCGCCCGGGGGGATGGAAAATTTATACCATGGCTCCGGTGGACGTTGATAATTTCGTCGGTGAAAAAAGATTGTTAGAGATTCTTTTGGACAAAGTTTCGAAAAAATCTCGAGGCAGGCGATGACGTCCGCTGTTCCGCGGTCTTGACGTTCGTTCCGCGATGCGAAAGAACTTCCCAGCGGATGATGTGGCTGGTCCAGCGAATCCACGGGTTCGTGGTCTGCCCGTTGGCTCGAGTAAATTGAAAATTTCACGCCTGACGGTATGTCCGTCGGTGATTCGACGGGATTTCATCGACAGATGCCGAGGATTTTGCATAACCTTTCGCTCCCGCGGATTGGAATCGAAGCGAAAATATTGGAGGTATCGCGACGCCGTGAAAACGCTATATTTTCCCGGACCGGGCGAAATCCGTTATGGAGCTTTTGTTTTCGATTCGAGCGGCTTCGACGATTCCCCGGAACATCGGGGGCAAAGCCTCTTTCGACGAGAGGTAGTTACGTTTGAAAGAATGGATCTGATCCGGTATATGTCCTTAGAATATCGTCGAAATATGAGAACGCTCTCGGATAAAGGCTGACTCACGGGGTTGCTTTTATCGAAAAATCGATTTAATAGGTTTCGGTTCGCGTACGGAGTGTACGGTCTGTCCCGCGAGAGCGTGATTTATTGAAAGGCGGAGCAATATTCAGCTAGGTGTTTCCTGAATTATTTTTTACCTGATACAGCGATCTACGTTTCGTTGCAGGCGGAAGATTCGTAGTTACGTCCCAGGGCGACCTGCACATTAGAGCCGCCAGACCGGAAGACGGTAGGGCCACCTACTCGTGTTTAACCCTTCACGCGTTGACTAGCGAAAGGAGAAGAAGCGAACCTGCAACGTTAACAGTCACAGGCATGTCGACACCGTTTTTTAAAAGTCTAGAATAAAATAATACCAAACGATCAAAATTCAAGAAAGTTACTCGACGTTATTAATAACTATAATCTTCCCTATCACGCGTAGTGGATCTTAGATTACTGTTTAATACATCGAAGATCAAAGTGGCCCGTTTTCGAAGCACACCGTCCCAGTATATATTTCTCTTTTCACGGTTCCATTCACCTTTCAGAGCCGAGCGGATCCAAGCCACCAAAGCTGATGCAAAGATCGCAGATCGCCATCTCCGCTGAAAGCGGCTCGGACGTTCACCTCACTTGCTCCGCACAAGGAAGCCCGCCCCCGCAATTTACCTGGTACCGCGATGTTAACGGTTGGTTTAATTAGGAGATTGTTTACTGTATAATCCGGAACGCACCGTGCGCCGCATAACACAACACGATGCCCGTGATACCGACATCGTGCGAACGTTGCTTTCGAATTAGACCACAATCGAACGCTACGCTAAATCTCACCTGGAAAATAGCTCGGCAAAATCACGAAGTATTTTCGCGGTCGTGACAACTAACGGTCATTTTTAACTCGAGCGATTCGATGGGGAAAAATAAAATTTGCCATCGTCGACGTCGAGCATAATATATCTGTTTGCGCAGGACACTCGATACCGGTTGAGTCCTTCGGCAGGATTCAACTGTGGGGCGATTTGATGCAAATCCGACGTGTGGACGCTCAGGACGCAGGAAGGTACATTTGCAGGGCCAGCAATCAGGTCGGCGAGCAACGTGCAGAAACACACCTCTCGGTCACGTCGAAGCTCAACGCGCGAATACAGCCCCGCGTTCAGGTACGACGCAACGTAATCGTTAAATTATTCTGCCTGTCAGAAATCCAGTGTCAACGTTCTCGAGACGCTCGAATAATTTCCGACAGGGCGCGAAACTTCGACGATCGCTTCGAAAATCGCGACGATTCCCTAAACGTTCGCACTCGATTCCGAAAATCGATTTCGACGACTCGCGAGTCGCTCGTTCGAGGCTCGTCGAAAATTGCAAAACTCGAGTCGCGCTCTTGGTACGTAACAAACGGCAAGTTTCAGAACTCGTGATCATCGACGCGATCCCCGACAAATTGCGTCGTGTCATTAGACCCGTCGAAAGCCCGTCGGTACGTAGCGTGTGGGGGCGGAGTGACGCACAGCTGCGTGGAATCGTGACGCGGGCATTAACTTTCGTGCACGAATCGTTAACCGTTTCCCGGTATTTACAGATCATCAATTCCGGAGAGTCTGCCACTATGAATTGCACGGTGGAGGGTTATCCGGTCGAGAGCGTCGAGTGGTTGCACGACGGTATGCCAGTATTGACCGCGCAGGACACGAGGATCAAATTGCTGGCTCCTCTGGTCCTCGTGATAGGCTCGGTCGGCCGAAAGGACAAGGGGATGTATCAGTGCCTCGTTAGAAGCGACAAGGAAAACGCTCAAGCCACCGCGGAATTGAAACTGGGAGGTATGCTGCCGATAATTGCCTGCGTTCGCCCCCTTTCTTGATTACCTCCTCGAGCACGGCCATTAAAATATACACCAGTATGTTTATTTCCCTTTCCTTCACAACGTACGTTTATATATTTACATCATTTTTATCCCACCTCAACAAAGCGCGAGTCGAGCTTCAACGCAAGTAGAAATGTCGATCGATGGTCGGACGAATCGTGTATTCGGTGAATTGTCTCGAAAAATTCCTTCTATTCGACTTGTTTTTAATCCTCTGGTTAGTTCCAAGCCATTTCGAAGACCAACACGCCCAACGATTGTTCTTTCTTCCATCCACAGTGACGAAACGACGTTTTCGAGAACGGAGGGTGCAACGGGGGAACAAAGAAAATATTATCGCTAGAGTGGCAGTAATGTTTGTTCGATCGTTTCAGACACTGTGCCGGAGCTGCAGTACACGTTCATCAAGCAAGCTCTGCGACCAGGACCGCCGGTGTCCTTGCGATGCTCGGCGACAGGATCCCCGCCCCCATCCTTCACTTGGCTCCTGGACGGAGAACCTCTGAGCGAGATCGCGACCGGACACAGGTGCGCGTCTAGATCCCATCGATCAATATTCCGCTTCTTAACTGAAAACAATGTCCACGCAGGTACGCGATAGGGCAGTACGTCGATCAGTCCGGGGACGTGATCAGTCATTTGAACATATCATCGGCCGGCGCGGAGGATGGCGGCCTGTACGCCTGCGTCGCGTCCAATACTCTGGCCACGGTCGAGCATAAATCGAGATTGAACATCTACGGTAATTGAAACGGCGATTGGCGTCGAGAATCGCTTGATCCGTGGCTAATTTGTATCGACCAGTCGCTGGTATCTAAGATCCTTCGGATAACTGGCACTGTAATTTTTTTAGAATACAACGTGGGACCTTAGAAATACAGTTTTGCACTATCTTAATTGTTCGCCAAAGGAAAATGTGTGTAGATTTTCCCAGTTAATATTTATCCCGGAATAACCGTTATATTCTCGGAACTGTCTGCCGCCGCGCAATAGTAAATTGGTCGAGAAGAAAACGCGTTTCAAAGTTTATAATGCACTTGGAAGAAGCACTTAGAGTTAATAGAGCAAAGTCTACCGAAGGTAGCCAAAACCGTTGGCTTGTTCCAATTTAATGCGTTCGTTGCGCGCCTAGGGAGGATAATTCCTAGCGATCGCTCGGTTCTGCGATTCTATTTTCGGAGGAGTTCTATTTCTAATCGTTGGTTATCGTTATTATAAATGGCGGTGACGGTGGTACTCGCGTTCGATATTCCGAATCGGACTGCGGGGCCGCAACAATTTCAATTATCGCCAGCCGCATTAGGTCCGAATAGGTATGATCGAATTAAGCGTATTAGGAAGCACTTCACGTCGATTAATAATTTCAGGGCCACCATACATACGATCGATAGGGCCGGTCCGTGCGATAGCTGGCACCGACACCACCATAGCCTGTCCTTACTCGGGTTACCCGATCACGTTGGTCGAGTGGTCCCACGGCGGCGTGGATTTGCCCTTTGACATTAGGCACCGTGTCGACAGCGAGGGTCACCTGACGATCGGGAACGTGGACCCAAACGACGCTGGCGTCTACACCTGCATAGTGAAGTCGAGGACGGGGGAAACGGCGAGCAGGGACATACGACTCACCGTCAGCAGTGAGTACTTCACTCGTACAAAATTTTACAAGAAACAAATTACGAACAATCTCCGTGGTAGAGGAAAATTAATATCGAAAAGCGAACTAGGAAGACAAATCTCGATTGATGGGTTAGAGAAGTTCCTTGAGTCGGGATACATGAAACAAATACATTCAATTATATATTAATAACCATTTATTTATTAGAAGAAGAATTCTATTTTTAGCGTTATTTTAGCGACAGACTATTCTCGGAGAAGTTGGAGCAGTAAGTAGTCGTAGGTGGACTCGCGTTAACAAGAAACGCGGCTCCGTTTCTCCCTTCCTCGTGGTTTTCTCGCTCGCGTCCGCGAAGAAGTCACGAAGCTCAATGGAAGAAGTAAATTGCACACCAGCAAGAATTCGTGTACGGTTAGTTTTTAAGTTTCCCTCGTTTGTCAAGCCGGGAAGGAAACAGGGTTGGCGAAAGAATACGTGGCTGGAAGATAGTGAGTTTCTGACCAGGAAATAGTTCCTCGCTTTTTGTTCGCGACTCTTAAATTACTCTCGAACAAAATACTTCTGTGAAACTCGTTCGTCCATCAAGCACTGTTGCGATAAAATGAAGATTTATGGTCCTTCGGGCAAAAGAATATTAAATATTCAAGAAATCTTTACTCGATTTTTTGGAAAAGTATCAATCAAAATTTCTGTTCCAGGTCCCCCGGTTATGAGTCCATTCAATTTCCCGCCGAATCTGCAGGAAGGAAGCCGTGCCCAGGTCACGTGCAGCGTTACATCCGGCGATCTTCCGATATACTTCTCGTGGCTCAAGGACGGCGAGCCTCTGCCATCCTCCTTGCGCGTATGTTTCCTCCGATCAATTACTTCGCTATGTAATTATTTAAATTCCGGACTTCTGGCCATTTTACCACCCCCAATTTCTTGTTTCCCGAGGTCCACCAGAGTTTCTAATTAAGCAAATGTTCGAGCAACGCGATATCGTGTCGCGCGATCGGAATCGGAAGCCACAAACGCGAACAAGTTTCTATTAACGGGTAAACCCTGACTCGCTGCCGTACGTTTGCGTTACAGATCGAAGACAGAGTAGCCGAGTTCTTCAGTCTGCTCGTTTTCAAGGAACTCTCGTCCCGTCACAGCGGCAAGTACACTTGCGTGGCGACCAACAGCGCGGCCAAAGTCAACCACACCGCGGAACTTTTGGTCAAAGTGCCGCCGCAATGGATCTTCGAGCCGCAAGACGTCGCCACACTTCTCGGCAACCCGTTGAACGTTCACTGCGAGGCAAAGGGGTTCCCACCGCCGCGTGTCACCTGGCTACGTTCAAAAAGTCGTACCGCCAATGACTATCATCCCCTGGTAGACGGCTCCGACGGCAGACTGACCATTTTGCCCAACGGGTCTCTGTGGACGGCGTCCGCTGGGCCCCAAAACGAGGGCCACTACCTCTGCAGAGCCACCAACGGGATAGGACCTGGCCTCAGCAAAGTGATTTACGTGTCTGTTCACGGTCGGTGTTAAAAGATATATACTGATAGCTTTTACAAACTTTCTAGCGTGTACCTCTACTGTCTAAAACCTCCCCTTATTTCGAAACATAATCAATGGCCAAAATCCGTTCGTTTCCAGAGCCGGCGAGGTTCGAGTTCCAAAGCAAAAACGTGACGATCCGCCGCGGAGAGTCCGTGACTCTGGATTGCACCGTCATCGGGGATAATCCCATAGAAGTGCTGTGGATGCACAACAGCAACCGTTTGGACACCAACAGCCACAGGCTGAGCATAAGTCAGATGAAAACGGAACACGGGCTCAAGTCACAGCTGTCTATAGGGACCAGCGATCGTCAGGACTCTGGGGTCTATCGATGTACGGCCGACAATGCGTACGGGAGGGCCGAACATCTCATTTACCTGGCTGTTCAAGGTACAAATCTTCGAAGATTGCTAATACATAATCCCCCAGTTATCGAACATATTTATCAAGTGGATTTTATTGGGGCCTCTGCATTTTTTAAACGCTTTAAAGGAAAGTTGATTTCCATTTACCAATTTGGTAAAAAGTCCACTTAGGGGTTAGCAACGCGAGATTTCGATTTAAGCGTTATTAAACATGTACCGATCGGCGTTAACGAGCCTGAATATCTTATTTAAGGAAGATTAATCAGTATTTTCGGATAAATTGATTTTTTTCCCCCCGTTGGTCAAAGGATTCATTATGCTTCGCTTTGTGAATACAGAGAGGCCGGATCCACCAGCCTCGCTGGAAGTCATAGAAATCGGCTCGCGATCGATACGATTGCTGTGGAAAAGAGCTTTCGACGGAAACAGCCCAATACGGAATTACGTTATTCAGTATCGGTCCCTGAATCACGTTTCGGTGGACGATTGGAACCCCGCAAAAACGCACAATGTCACCTATTCACCGGGAAGTTCTAATAGCGGGAACACGATACATCCAACGCAGAACGGTACGTAGACATATTGAAACCGAGGAGGCGTGGTCGATTTTTCCAAAATTTTCATTCATTCGAATCTAACCGGACAAACGCTGGCAAGCTGTTGAAAGTTTCAACTTGAAACGGTGCAACTCGAGTCGTTGTTTCGAACAATCGAAGCAGTATGGGACCGTGTATCGGTGAATTACCGAATTGTTCGTTCGACTCTTTCGAAACATTTCTTTGTCTTACCAAATAAAAATATATTTTTGGACTTCCTTGAAAAATGAGTTACTAAAAATTTTTTAAAGAATATCGACGATCTTGAAGTATCCTTAAATCTTCATAAATAATGTATCGAGTTCATAGACACTGTACATACTTTCGTGCAACGTGACAACGCGTTTTAAAGTATTGCTATTCGCGTTTGCAGGTTTATCCCCTTTCGAAACGACGAGCGAGGACCAGGAAGTGGCTTTGGTGGGTGGACTTCATCCAGCCGTGACTTATACGTTTCGTATATTTGCTATAAATTCAATAGACGTGAGTGCACCCACTGATCCCGTGGTGGCGAAGACCCAAGAAGAAGGTAAGGAACAGTATTCGCCTATTCTTCGAACGTCTTACCGAGTTCGTCGCTATATTGCAAACTTTGTGACTTTGTATCTTAACAGCGCCCACAGAACCGCCCCAAAACATCAAAGTACAATCCGCGGGACCCGGGGAGCTTATGGTTAGCTGGCAGGTAAGTATATTGTTTTTAAATTAAATTAATTTGGTAATTTTTAAGATGATTTCGATCCCGTTCACAGCCGCCCCCCAAAGAATCCTGCAACGGAGATCTATTGGGCTACATAGTGACGTGGTCGGAGCATTCTTCCTCAACTTCGGGTGTAAACCAAAGCAAAAGTTTAACTGTGAACGGATGGGCGACAACAAAGGTGCAGCTTACGGGCCTCAGAAAATTCACGAAGTACGATATATCGATCAGAGCTTTCAACAGCATAGCCAGCGGTCCAGTTAGCGTCCCTATTGTTGGGACAACTCAAGAAGGGGGTACAGTAAACTTTTCCTCGTTAAACAGAACAGTAACGCTCATATTTAACCGATTAATAATAATTATATTTAATATTTCAGTGCCAGAGACTCCGCCAACCAACGTGTCGTGTGTTGCCCTGTCTTCTCAAAGCGTGAGGGTGTCCTGGAGCGCACCACCACCCCACCAACACGGTGGAATTATTCAGGGTTACAAAGTATACTACAGGCCAGTGCCAACCGACAACAGTAAGCGATCCAAGTTCAAAAAACAATCTAACGACTCTGTATTGAAAAACAGGAGCTAATAACGCGTATTAATAATCGATGAACTTTGTTTCAGTGGACATATCGACGGTCGGCGAAGTGAAGAAGACCACCAGCGTGGAAACCTATCTGCACACCCTGTACAAATACACGAATTACTCGATCAGGGTACTGGCATACACGGGAGCTGGCGACGGAGTCCTGAGTCCGCCGATCTTTTGCACGACGGAAGAAGATGGTAAGAATCACTTAAACTTATCAATTTTTATCGTCTCTTTTGCAAGAAGTTTCCGAGATAGCAACGCGTGAAACTCTGTTCGAACCGCGTGGTAGATTTACCTGTGTTCTTTTTCAGTACCAGGCCCTCCAGCTGGTATCAAGGCCTTGGCATTAACGGCCGAAAGTATATTAGTTTCGTGGTTGCCGCCCCTACAACCGAATGGGAACGTCTCCAAGTACACGGTTTACAGCAGAGAAGCTGGCTCCAGCAACCATAACACGCACACGATGCACGAGCCGCCGTCGTCGCCCACCGATACTCTAACTATGGAACTGCGAGGTTTAGTCGAGAGGTGATTAATAATTATAATTTTACGAAATAAATATAGAGAATATCGATAACGAAACACTTTGTCTTTACAGACAACTGTACGAGTTTTGGGTGTCCGCGACCACTGGACTAGGCGAAGGCGAATCGACCACTATAGTGACCCAAACTACGAACACCAAAGGTTCGATAACTTTCTAAGACTCGTCTGATCGTCCAATGTTCGTTAAATAAAATTTTGTAAATTCTTTAGCCCCAGCCAGGGTGGCCTCTTTCTCGCAATTGCTGAGAAGGGCAATTAAATCATCCATCACGTTGTCGTGTCTGGTGGTCGGGAATCCTACGCCAAGACCTACGTGGACCTATCGAAACGGACAGGTCTCCACTGGTCGACATTACGAGCTGACTTCCGAGGGTCACCTCAACATTCGTGGTTGGTTTGATAAATAATTGATACAAGCTATTGTACAAACAATAAATATTATACAGAGAATCATCGTTCCTTCAGGATTAGAACAGTCGGTGGCGGGAAATTATACTTGCTCGGCCAGCAATTTGTTTGGCGACGATTCCGTAACTTACACCCTAGTTGTGGTGATGCCGCCTAAATCACCGACGCTAGAACTCCAGTATACTACAACGAATAGCATAAGGCTTCGATGGAATCACCCTAACAACGGCGGTGCTACTATTCAAGGTACACGAAAGAATTTAGGTACTGTAACTGGTTCTTCTGTAGTAGAATAGAACTATAATAGGGTTAGGTTGCAGATCAATTTCCTGGACTTCGTCCTCTCTGCTACTATATTTCATGTTTTCGAATTAAATGAGGTAACGAAAAATGAGGTAAAATAATCTCGACTAACAATACGATTGTTGGGCTCCGTTAGGTTACGTATTGAGTTACAAAAGGGACCAAGGTGGCTGGGAGGAAATCGCGCTGTCACCGGAACAGACAGAGTTCATTTTATCAGGGTTGAAGTGCGGGTCCTCGTATTTGGCGCACTTGACCGCCCACAATCGCGTGGGTACAGGAGATCCGAGTCCTCTGATAAGCGCGACGACCAAAGGAACTGGTAATTCTAGATCACGATTTAAAACTTAAACAAGTTACTATGGACTAGTGTATCGGTAAATTCTATTTGCAGCACCTCTGTTGCCGAAAGAACGGGACATCATCTCCGCCAATGGCACCACCGTGAAACTGAACCTTTTGTCCTGGCCAAACGGCGGATGTCCCATTCAATATTACACGGTGGAGTATCGTAAACGCATAAGCACGGAACCGTGGATCTTGGTGGCGAGTCGCGCGACGGAGAACCTGATCATACGAGACTTGAAGACCGCCTCGTGGTACAGTTTGCGTCTGACGGCCCACAACGACGCCGGATCGACGCAGACGCAAATGGAGTTCGCTACGACCACGCTGAGCGGCGTCAGCATAGGTCCTCCGAACGACCTGATCATGGAGGACGACGTGAAGAAGACTATACCTAATCAGAAGGTGCTGTACGTCGTTGTACCAGTCGTCTGCGCGATCGTCCTCGTCGTTTCGGCCGCCATTCTGGGATACGTGATGCTGAAACGCAGTGGAAGGTGTGCACGCGTTCGAAGCAACGTTCTCTCGCGATTAGAAGCGTACATGGCGTAAATTTCCATTTTCAGGACGAATTACTTGGGGGAGATGCTTCCTGGACAGCAACAGAACCAACAGTCGGGGCTGGGACTCGTCCAGCAACAACAACACCAACAGCATCATCATCTGTCGAGCTGCATGTCGACCGTGCAGTTGAAATCGACGGCGGAACGCGACAACAGACGAAACCATCAAGTTTATACCAGTTCCCCGGTGAAGCAAGAGAACCACAAGTCCAATGATCACGGATCAGGTACCATATTGTTATTCGTATCGTCGATCGCAAGTATCTAGTGTATCGTCAAAGACGTCTATTTCCGGCAGAAATGTACGAAATAAGTCCGTACGCGACGTTCAGCGTCCCGGGGAGGGAGAATCGTTCGGTGACGACCGCCACCCTCGACTACACGATGCAGTTCAAAACGTTCGGGCATTTGGAGAACGAGGACATCAACACGATCGACTACGAGAGGTCCAGCGTAGACTTCGAAAGGTAACTGTTTTCTTTCGACCCTTTCGCCTTTCGCGTGCATGTCTCGAGTTCGACGATGTCCAAGCCTCCTGCTCGAACGTTTACGTCCCGCTCCGTACCCTTTTCTCTGCCTCTTTCTGGTGTTCTTTCACGCGCAGGTCTAAAACGCCAAGGTGGCACAAGCAACGATACTTCCCGAGCATCGCGGAAGCCGAGAGCAAGTTGCGCTCCAGTCGACAAGGTTCCGGCAGCGACACGTCCGGAAGTCCTTGCGGAGAATGCGCTGGACCTAGTTACAGGGTCCCAGTGAAACCTTGCAGAGGTACATTCGAATTTTTACAACGATCATCCCACGTTGACTGCCTCGGTGGTTGATCGAGAATCTCGTTTCGCAGATGTGTTCTCACGAGGCGTGGAGTCGAGTACAGAATCCAACAACGAAGGATCGCCTTCGCTTGCGAGACGACGAAGCCGACAGCCGAGCCGGTCCACTCGCAGGTAGCCAAGGTTTGTTTGTTTCCACATAGCACTCAGTCCTGATTTTATACAATATTAATACTATCACGGTCTTATCGGTCTCGTGCCGATGCAGAATGAGTAATGGGGAAAAATTTGGAACTCTGAAGAAACGAGAACGACTCTCAAGAAGCGGACCGTGTGCATTCTAGACGTTGACTATCAATTATTGCATATGTGCAGGGCGTTTGGCCAACCCTTGGGGAAAATTTTAACGGGAGATTCTAGAAGTCATCAAGAATTCCTGATTTTCGTTTTATTTTGCCCTCCAGAGTCTCCCATTAAAATTTCTCCCATATGTGGCCGAACACCCTGCGCATACACTAGATCTTACAAAATAGCTGCATTGAAAACGTTTCTTCGTTAACCAGTGTGAAAAGAATTGACTAGCGTAGCTGTAAAAAGAATTTGATTCCAGCAAATTAATTTGGACTGAGCGACGATTAACCAGCGCGACGATAAGCTTCCACTGAGCAAAACGAACGAGGATTTGGTTCGAGTCAGTTCAAATTAATTTACAAGCTCGATTGGGTCCGGTAAACGGCGAATCTTCCACGTCTTTCCGTTAATCAAACAAACCCCTAAGACGTTTTTCTCTGATCTTATTGTGCGTAGTTCGGTGGAGGACATGACGTTGTTGCCGCCAAGCGGGTTTAGCGACAGCCGCGAATTGAGCGACGTAGAATGTGACCGTGATCGTGATCGTGACCGTGAGCGTGACCGTGACCGTGATCGCGACTGGCAAGGTCTGTCAGCCGGGACCCGCCACGGCGGCAGCTTGGGTAGACTGCCGATCGAGGCCGTCGAATCTATGCTCGCTAGGTATCGACACGAACCTCCGTAGACCGTAGTAAGCTGACACGTTGAGATCCATTTTCTATCGTTCTTTAAACCTAGGAGGACTTCTGGAGTCTCGAACAACCCTGTTCACTTCTCTCTCTATCTCTATCTCCCCCGCTTACTCTCTTCCATTAGACTTATTAACTCGCGAATCCTGACGTCAAACACCGGGTCTGTTCCGTACGCTTAATCCATTAAGTACCAGCGTCCCGATTGAAAGTCCAAGTGTGCCTCGATCGGGGGGGTGTCAAAGATTCAAAATGTCAAGATCAGCGTGACCTGACCCAGACCTAACGCTCTCCCTATCCTTTTCTTTCAAATAATTCATTTTAGTATACCCTTGCATTCGTCTCAGCGACAATTGACTTTGGCACTTGATGGGTTAAGACGACACTCAATGCTCGCGTGAACACGTTAAGATAAGAGTCGTAGATCGGCGAAAAGAAATGCTCAATGTTCGAGACAGAGAATATTGGCTGTTCAAGGTCACTGTTCCAACCGTGAATCATACCAGGTACGATGTCTACTTTCAGAGGCAGAGAACGCGTGTCTGCAGGTTTGGCGCTTTCCGTCAAACGCTATGGGTGGAGGAAAGAGACACGAGATGGAGTGGTGGGGGTAGCCAAACGGTATGATGGGATGGCTCCTCTTCAGTGGCCTTGAGATGCCAAATTAATTGCGATGCCCGACCAGATTAGAAAAACATAAAAGATTTCTCGTTAATTGCGTTGCGTTTCTCCCCATGGACACGACTGATTCGATTAAACTGTTAAATTCGAAGACACCCGGATAGTCATACTCGACAGAAGTCATCCTAGGATTACAAGAAGCCACACCAAATATATTCAATAACTCACGGAAACGAAATACTAGCTTTTACACCATATACTAACCACCTAGAATCCACCTAGAAGTTTTAACTACTGATATAGAACACTAGCTGTGAGACTTTTGACACTCGAATGGTACATTTCTCTGGTTCTAAAATTAGCGTTTCCTTTAGAAATAATATACTTTCTTAGCAACGATAACAATTCGAATGTTAACGATGTTTGTTGCACGACCTCGTTTCAGGTATCAGCAAAGGAAGGAACAAGAGAGGCAAGAGTTCACTATACACGTATGATCGAGACTTAGCAATTCTAGTGGGAATCTTCGCTGGACGATGTAAATGGAATAGTAAACTTTTGTCGATCGCCTAAGCGTATTGCGGGATGCCAGTTCCGAGTACTTTGAGGGATAAATTGTCCACTTTGTTCACGAAATTTCCTAGACAATTCTCGAAGAGACACGACACACGCGAAAGAATAGGAGAACGACCATACATGAAAGTACGACAAACGCTTAGGTGTCTTAGAGAAAAATGCACGACTTGAACAAATCCACGGGATAACTCTGCGCTTAACAGTTTGGAACACAAGGAAAACAAGTCAATTTACCGATGGATAATGAACTACACTCGATTATAATCGTCTACTGTATAGTATAGATCTTGCGTACCGTTAGTGACGCTGTTACCGGAAATTGTATAGCAGAGTTGGGACTGGTCGAACGTCAATCGAATACTTTGGCTCCTATGAACGATATTCCATGCATTTGTACTTTGATAAAAAAAGTAATTAATTGGAAAAGACTATTTCAACAGAAATATTGAACATTGAGTATAGATCTCGATTTTGATTTGAGAGGAAACTTGTCCCCGTTTAATTTCGTTTCAAGGGAAAATTGATAGTAATTTTCGATCAACGATGGTGTATTAAGATATTCGAATAGTCCCAGCCCTATTGTACAGTCGAGAAACGAACATCGAGAATCATTTACTGCCATCGTCGAGAAGCATCGTTTAGATTTTTAAGCGGCCATTAAGGGAACGTTGGTTTTTTTAGTTAATTATTTCTACCAAATTGTACTGAGAGATTATAACATAGACAATGCTATGGATTTGCTATTTATAAATTTAAACCTCGAGAATTTTTGAATTATATAAACAATGAGAGTCCAGAAGTTTGATTTGTAATTGCTTTCGTGTATCGTTTTAATTATTCTGACGATCGCGTTCCCATACACGATAGCTTCGCAATCCGCATCGATCGATGAACAAATTTTACGCAGAATCGTTTCAGAATGGTCGAGGAAGCGTATTGGAACGATGTTTCTGCTTAGGACGGAGCCAATTGTAACAATATTCCTAATTATCGGCATTAACGAGACGCGGCTGCGAGCGTCGACGTTTACTTCGAACCGATTTTGTTAATAAAACTTGTTTGGAGGAACGAACGATCGCGTCGAGGCGCGCAGTCCCGGTCAGGGATTCGCGACGTGTGATCGAAACAGATTATAACAGTACGTTTTAAGGGTGTATATACATGTACGCATCATATTTAGAGGGCGAACAATTTATCGACATAGAACGACCTCGATCATCCAATTAAATGCCAAAGATAAGTTTTAAGTATCGCGCTGTTTCCATTCGCGCAACGGAACGCGAGCCGTTTTGTAAAATAGCCTATATAAATATATTAATGTTTAACCTTTTGCTGCGTCCCCGTCGAAGAATTTCCAATGAAAAGTTTCGAGCAAAAGGTAGCTGAAAAATTACGAACGTTGCAATTGATATCGATATCGATTATTATTTTTCTGGAAATGCATGGACAAGCAAAAGGTAAAACGTCGCAAAACTCGGGTCGATTTCACGGCGATCGATCTATCGAATTTTCAAAATTTATCATCGTTATCGAGACGGTGGGTCCGAGGCTGATTAACTACGCTTACGCTGATTTCTGGGGAAACTGATTTTACGGAAACGAGGGCATACTTCGTCTATTTTCTCGGAAAGAGAGAGAGTAAGACTCGTATATTCGTTTTCAATCGATGTTCATTCTTTTATAACGGAGACATACTTCTATCGATTATATCGAACAGACTGGATCACATGTTTTGGAGACTAATACACTTGCATCAACCATCGACGAAAATCTCAATTGTATCGAAGAGTTCGATGCTGTGGCGCCTCTCATGCTCGCCACCAGAGGGGTCGCGTTCTCACAAGCGCTCGACCGACCCCTCGGTTGCTATATATATATTCCTCGAACGACTTTCAAATATCCCAATTGTCTAATACGAGGCTACCGATCACACTATTCTTATATCGGTACCTTAATTTTAATGTTAACCGACAAACTGCCAGATCAGCTTCGTTTTAAACGTCTTACGAAAGTTTGTTAGATTACACCCTCGATTTTCCAAGTTCCTCCCTCGTTATAATTAATAATGATACTAACGCGTACACGGTGTATACCAAATGGTTCTTCCAACGCTGTTTAAATTTATATACGGACTTTTTAACCGCGCGCCTCGTTATTGGGGCGCGAAACGTATGTACATGCGCTAATTTACTAATTAAACGTACCCCCCCCGTAACGAACACGCTAAGTTCCGGATTTTAGACACGAAATATGCTGAGTATGCCCTCTGACGAGATTAACGATTTATCACACATGTAACTACGTGCTTGATCTGTACAGACGCGATGGGCAAACATTTCACGGAAATCGAATCCATATGCACCAAACCTAAGCACGAGAGCCAGCGATCGTATGATTTATAGCGAAGTCCTCGTCGTAGTCGGAAATCGTGATCCGTAGTTAGATGAAATTCGGACGAGAAATTAGGGAAATGATGTGTTTTCGGGAGAGAGTGCATGAAGTATGCGTGTGATATGCAGGGCGTTCAACCACCCCTAGGAAATATTTTAATGGGGGATTCTAGAGGCCAAAATAGGACGAAAATCAAGAATACCAATTTCTTGATGAAGACTTCGTTAAGATGTTATTGACGTCCAAAGTTCCGCCAGTACTGAATTTTTTTCTCGAAAATGCGTAGGATTTCGGGGGTATGTGTATCCACCAAAAATGGTTGTATTTGACCCTAGAATCTAGAAATAATTTTTTTAGAACGATTTGACATTTTTTTTTTCCCCGAAAAATTTGGCCATCTTACTGAATTTTTTTCTCGAAAGTGCATAGGATTTCAAGGGTATGTGTATTCACCAAAAATAGTTGTATTTGACCCCAGAACCTAGAAATAATTTTTTCAGAACGATTTGAAATTCTTTTTTCATCGAAAAAATAAGGCACCTATCATCCCCTGTCGATTTACCTTAAAAATTCGTTTTTGATTTTTAGTAAATTTGTTTGATATCCTACAGAAAAGTTGTCTGATACTTTTTTGTAGGTATACATGGCTTCTACTTCAGAAAAAATTTTCATTAGAATATATTCACTATTAAAGGAGTTATGGCTGTTTGAAAATTGGACCATTTTTATGGGGTTTTTTATAACTTTAAGGGGCTTAGGAACAACTTTTCGAATATTTTTAGAATTTCTATATATTCTACAGTAAAATACGCGTTGTTTGCCGTTTTTAACATTAAAATCGTCCAATCCGTTCAGGAGTTATGACGTTTTAAAGATACGCGTGAAATTTCAGTGAAACATATCAACGTATGGTCAGACATAATATTTTCAGTAAGGAATTTTTTTCTCGAAACTGCTTAGGATTCCGAGGGTATGTCTATTGACCAAAATTGATTGTAATTGACCCCCGCAAACGAACATAATTTTTTCAGAACGATTTGAAAATTTTTAATTTAATTTTTTAATAACTTTTTAACGAAGCCTCAATCAACAAATTGATATTCTTGATTTTCGTCTTATTTTGGCCTCCAGAATCTCCCATTAAGATTTTTTCAAGGGGTGGCCGAACACCCTGTATGGGAACTCGTCGCGTGGCCCAGCCACAGCGTACGAGGGAACTTATTTGTACATGAGAATCGTGAAAACTTAGGCTTTATGTATCATATCCTCGTATAAGTATCCGTGAGCGAACTAGATGAATTTAATCATCGTCCGTTATGGTTAACATGAAAATAAATAAAAAATAAATAAATCGATCGAATGTCTCATCGAAGCGTCGAACTTTCACGAGATATGCTAAAACCCAGCGTGTTAATAAAGAACGACAGACATTTATTGCGTGAAATTCAATTTTGTATCCCTGTACATGCGTGTCCATTAAAGGCCGCTGTCGCACCTTCGAAGGCTGATGTACTTTTTAAACGGTTATCGTCGATGTGCAGGACGAGACGATCGAATCGATCCCCTCGATTCACTTCGAAACTCTTGGTTAACATATTGAAAAGAAAGTTTCCACGTTGTTCGAGAGGATCGATCCGTACGTCTCGCGCTGCACACGAACACTATTTTATGCTCAAAAAAACTTGAAAGTTGAAAAACTTGCCGCCATGTACTGTACTTCTCGATGAGTAGATAGATAACAAAAAAAAAAGAAATAAACGTATCGAAAGAAAGCATTTCGTTTGGGTTCGCCTGTTCATTAACGAAGGAAGACGAGGGGGAAATTTTTCAAAGGATTAACGGCAGTTAAAGACCCAGTTTTGTACGGTCATCGTAGGAATAGTAAAAGAAATTTCTTTTCTCTGTAAAGCATGCTTACGTTTCTTTCTGTTGAACGCTTTGGCAATGAAAATGACTGTTGATTATGCCTATCTGGACCACACGCCAAATCTTACTCGATATGCACGGAGTCACTCAAGCTTATTATAGAAATTACAGAGATTAATAAAAAGATCATAGTACGTATTTTCCACGCTTTTTATTTACATTCTCCCGTACCTCCCCATTAATTCTGAAGTCTTACGCTCTTTCGAGAAACAAATTCCTTGCCGAAAATTTAATTTCTGGCCAGAAATGTCTTCTCGGCGAAATTGAAAGGTTTCCAATCACTCTGGAAAAATTATTCTCGGTTGCAGGGATCAATTACAATCATTTTTGGTGGATAGACATACCCCGCAATTCCTACGCATTTTCGAGAAAAAAAATTCTTTCCGGAAAATATTTTAGCGTGTCCCATAGGTGGTACATTTCTCGTAGATTAGTTCATTATTTTCGACGCTAGATGGCGCTCTTTATCGACCTCAGGCCCCCTGGTGCTAAAACGCCCAAGTTTGTCGAGAAATCCATCTAGCGTGAACGATACGAACTATTCCACGACAAACTTGGGCGTTTTAGCACCAGGGGGCCTGAGGTCGAGGTAAATGAGCGCCATCTAGCGTCGAGGATGATTATCAATGATTAACCGACATCGGAAGTCGATACACTCTTTTTAACCTTTTGACGCGACACCTTAGGGATCTATCGCTAATAACTAATTAATTAGAGCGAGGAGCCTTGCAAAATCGGTCCTTGAATGTTCCCAGGGATGTCTACTTGGTTCTCTAATAGCGAAAATATGTCTATTAATGTAGAAAAGTTGAGAATTCATCGATTAACACAGCCGTATTGTTCCGACTTCCAATATTCGTTAATAACGTCTTAATTACGGGCGGAAGGGTTATAGAAAGTATCCTTGAATGTTGCCAAGGGTCTGTACTATACTCTTCAACTCTAAAAGTTCATATTTTAATCCCAGAGAAAGAGTTATTAATGAATAATCAAGGTACTGCGTATCAGGAGTACCAGGACTGGGGGAGCCTGTACTCCGAATGCCTCCTCTAACATTCTGTGATCCTGCCACGATTTTAGCAGTACGAATCCCTGATATTAGATGGCGACACATATTTTTGTCACTTTTTTGGCGTAAAGGTTAAGATAATTATCGCACCCACTAATCGTTTATAACTATTCAATCATATGAAAGAATGCGTAGAAAAATGATTAAAGAACCTAATTAGATATTAAACAGGTTCGAATAATGTTTGATGTTGTTGCAAGGAATTATAAAACTTTAGAATTTATAAAAATTAAGGAATTAATGGGAAGGGTAGAGTAGAATGTAAACAAAATGCATGGAAAATGTGTACTGTGATTCTCAATTTTTTATTAATACAAACGTAAGCGTTTAACGGTTCAAATTTTGGCGGTGTTGCTCAGTTCTGAACGCTACTGCACTATTTACGGTGCATGTATCGCAAAGATGCTTTCCTGTCTACGTTCACCAGTTACGTATGGCTGTCAATGCGAGGACGAAATTATCTTAACTGATCTCACAGCAAAGCTTGATCGTCGTTAATCAGCTATCTAATCACGTATTCGAAGTGAACACGATCGTTTTTACAATATTTGCTATCACGTTTCTCTGTTGCATTTATAAATACACGTCAATCCTGACATTGTTGCATCGGTGTATATTGTGTGTGTACGACCGGTGATCACGTCAAATTATTGAAAGTAATTGTCAATTTGAACTTGTTAAAGCCACAAGATTCGGCATTATGTGTGCGAAAATGGCTTTTCAGCATCAGGCTGGCACAGCGATGGAATGTTTAAGCGTACGTATCTCGATTATTTGCATTTAATCCTTCGACAGTTCGTGCCTGTTCGATCGACAATTGTCGCGTCGTTTTTGAACGTTCAATTTTCCCAAGTAGTTATTTGTTTATGTTTTCGATCAACACGTACCATGTACGAATAAAAGCAAAGTTTTCTTTGGAAATTACAATTTATTCAATGAAATTTAACGTCCATCCCGCGAAAGATATATCGTCCAAGCGAATTGTTATCAAAAGATTAGTCAGCAATTGATACCAAGTCGATTTAATATTGTATATGTCTCACGTATTTTTAGATACCAATCACCTTGCACAAGGAAACAGAAATTAACGAAAACGGGGAAGAAGTAATGAAATGTGGGTTTAAAATAGGTGGTGGAATCGATCAAGACTTTAGGAAAAGTCCACAAGGATATACGGATAATGTAAGGAAAATTAATGTGACACAAATATTCTAAACATGATCTATATTGTTTTCTATTTAATTTTGTTTAATTCTAGGGTATATATGTCACCGAAGTACACGAAGGATCACCAGCAGCGAAAAGTGGTCTCAGAATGCACGATAAAATTTTGCAGTGCAACGGGTACGATTTTACGATGGTCACTCATAAAAAGGCAGTGTCGTACATCAGAAAACATCCAGTATTAAATTTATTAGTAGCTCGCAAAGGTGTGACCAGTACTTAAATACCAAATGAGAAATCTACACGATATAAGAAAAGTATTTATTTCACTCTAATACACAGAGTCAACTTATTCGAGCTACATGTCTGCCAAATATCAGATTAGTTTATAAACAATAGTAAGGATTACCTCGAATTTACACAAAAACGAAAGAATCAAATATTTGCTATTTTATTTTTATTTCTTTTTATATAAACTTTATCGGTACCGAGTGGCGAAGATTCCAGTTTAAATAGGGTCATAATGTTAATTCGCCCATACTCGATATTCGTTGAAACATTTACTTTGCAGGCATTACATTATTCATCTTCCATTACAGTAGAATTAGAGCATTAGAGCAATAGATTGATATATATGTATAAAAATCCTGTTATGGTTCGTTATTGTTGTTAAAAAGAATAATTGTATGGAAGTGTTTTCTTGGTAATATCGTACGACAGTTAATGATGCTAACGATCGTGTAGAATTATGCGTGAAGAACATAATTTTACATGCGCCTGCTTAAAAATCATACTGTATAATGTTTATTCTATATCAAAATTTACAATATTTCGTGTGCCAAACAGTAAATACTACATGAGATCCGTATGAATATTTCACGCTGTCATGTATATATATTGGTATATATTGATATACAAAACAGATTTCATAGGATGAAATTTATTTGAACAAAAGGTTGAAAACGAACTTCTTGATCGATTCAAATGACAGAAATAGTTGTACGGATGAAAGTCATGATATTTTAATTCTTTAAGTATTTCTATATTGTAAAGTATAACAAAAATGCCAAAGCATAATGGAGTTACACTAGTTTAAATACACAACATACTTTTTACAAAATTTTGTATGTCAGTATAGTATTGTAAGACTCAAACGAAATACTTCAAGTTTATGCATTTAAAACATTCTTCAACGACCGAAACAATCATACAATACACATTGTTTTAACTCAAATAAGTATTACACTTAGCACGCACGTAATTTACGTGAACAAGTGAGAATACATGCAACTATTGCATTTGTAAGCATTTATAAAACATTTTCTGCTACTTATCGAATTGTACAGAAACTAATTAAGATTGTAAACTTTGAGACCAATAGAAATATTGATTTTTCTATTTTGTAAATTTCTTACTTTGACCAATAATGAATGGTACAATGTATCTTCGCGTGTGTGTTTTTACAAATAAGAGAAACGACACTTCGTATTTCGCATTCTTTTTTCTTTTTATTGGCTTCAATGTACAATAAGTGAAACAAAAAGGAAAAGTTCCTGTTATATGTACAACTTTCTTTTGTAATCCCGAAGTTTTTACTATAATCACGATCGAGACATCAAATTGTTTTATATGTAATATGTTGTCACAATTTTCTAACTAGTCTGCTAACATGAAAGTTTGAAAAGAAATCGTAGAGCATAAATTATTATGTGTGCATGTATGTAGTAAGTTAAGGTTTTTTTTGTATAGAGCCTCAGTGTGACAAATTACATGCATTAATTTGATCAATACACAGATCTACATTTATATGAAAATTATATGTTATTTATTGCCAAAAACATGATTAATATAGAAACATATGAAAAAATTACTGTATACTGTGTAACTTAAATATTTTTCCTTATTAGGGGTGTGCAAGAATCCAAGGATCACTGAGGGCATTTCAATTTAGAACAATCAATCCCCAAGTTATTCCAACAGAAAACTTTCATTATCTATTTCTTTTTGCACATTTTAAAGGGGGCAATGAATTGTATAAATTGCTCGATACTAATATGTTAGGATAGAACATAATGTTTATACATTGCCGTCTGATCGTGTACTCTTTCACACATATTTTCCGCCACATAGAAGGGACGTTTAGTACCTACATTGCCGTTTCTAAAAATTGTTCTTTCCTACATCCCCGTCTAAGGTAATATAACGTGACTCGACTAGTCCTGAAATTTGGGGAATCCCGATATCGCATCTTACGTAACTGCAATAAAAATTAGCTTATTATATGGACGACTAACATTCCATTAGACAGTTACAACAAAAATATATCTACCATCAGCAAGAATTATTTTTTAATTGTCATGCATCATCAATTTTTGCAATAAGTATATTCCTTTGATACATTCTACAAGTAAAGCATCTATCTAATCTTATCCAAATTTCCCACTCAACAATTTGGTAAGACTGTCATATTTCTTTTGGAGCCTGGAAAGCCGAACTCTGAATACAGCTTTTTCCCTCTTCAACCTGATAACTTCATTTCTTAACTTATTCGTAATATTATCATTTCTTCCACATTTTTCTACATCAGATGTTGAACACGAAATTTCTATTGTGCCAACAGAATGTTCATCCAAAGGATCAAAGTCCATGCTTGCATTATTAGATAAATGCTCTGTAAGACTCTTTTCAGGAGTAAGGAAAGACAGTTTTGCCATTGTATTATTAGGAGATTCTTTTATCAATGAATTATTGAAGGGCATTTTTACTGATGCATTAACACGAGCATTTTCCATGTTTGACTTCTGTATTGCACTCTCTTTTGAAACAGTCTCAGTTTTGTTTGTGATAGGTATGATTCCATTTCTGACAGTGTGAATGGGTAACATCATTGTGTAATCATGATCTATTACACGAAGCTTCATGGGACAACCAACTTCATGTTCAAGTCCACTTCCTTTTGATGGTCTACCTATTTTCTTCAGGTTTTTGTATTTTTGATTTTCTTTCTCATCATAACATAAATGATTTAATTCTGTAACTGTTCGTGCAGGTGAAAACACTCTTGTAGCTGGAAGCGGAGACGACGAATAGCGGTGGTCATCGATTAATTTTTCGAATAATTTGCCGTGCAATCTTTTTTTGGAACAGTGGCAAAAAATTGTAGGCACTGCATCTTTCTTTAGCCGCCGGGCGGCTCTGTTTTCCCATTGCGTAGGTGCGAAATGAAGCTGTAAATATTTAATAATACATATAAATAAATGCTTTTCACGAAATGATGGCTTTTAGTTATCACATTCTGGTTAGTTAAAAATTAATGGAAAGAGCATCGATCGATTACCTCGCAAATGAAATGATTCGGGCCAAACTTGAAATTTGGCCTGTTAATCTGATGTATCCACTTTGCCCGCAGCTCCTTGTCTTTCGGAATTCTTTTCATAACTTTCTGAAAAGAACGATTCGGACAGTTCGTAGCGCAGCACAGCGTCATATCGATGCAACACTAGTAAATAGATTTCCCAGTATTACGTCATTACGACAAACCCCACGGAAATATTTAAACAATTGCTCATCCTCCCACGAAATTAAACAATGCAGAACAAACTAGAATACTGTAGAGGGAAACACATAGCATAAGCAATTACGGTTAGGTTGCCCTACGGTCGAAATCAGAGATGCCAGATTCTGCACCGGGTGCACTACTCACACATGGTAGATCACACGTACGTGAGCTCATAGAGTTTCGGAAAGTCGACAAAGGCAAACCGACATATGCCCCCTTTCTCGATTCTCCGAAGCTGCCCGAAGTAATTTCGGACCGTCTCGTGGGAGTCGAGAGAGGAAGGCTCATTTGGCCTTCGTGCACTTGAACAACTGAAATTCGACATCACGTCGACGGTATACGATTCCAAGTCTCGACTGGCCAGGTATTTTTTATTTTCCGACCTATGTATGTAGACGAACATAAGTAAGATAATGAACAAAATTTTGTGAAATTTTTCTTACGGAAATACACGTTTTATGACCCCCTGATCATATTTGAATTATTGAAAAAGAATAAATTCATTTTTATTATTCCTATATATGAGCGGACATATGTATATCATTTCAGATATCACTTCTGATACATCTGGCAACGTATAACCATTACTGCTGGCTACCGCCAGCCTCTCGCAGCCTCTGCTGGCTTCTGCTGGCCTCTGTTAACCTCTGCCAACATGTGCGGGCTTCTGCCTGCCTCTGCTGACCCCTGCTGACCACCCCTGACCACCCCTGATGCTTCCGACAACGTATAACGATTACAATTTGCCACTGCTTGCCGCTGCTGGTCTCTGGTTGCTACTCCTTGCCACTGCTGGCCTCCGCTGGCTTCTGCTGACCACTGCTGACCACCACCGATGCTTCCGACAACGTGTGACGATTACTACATATTACTGCTTGCCCCTGCTGGTCTCTACTTGCCTCTGCAAGCCTCTGCTATCCCCTGTTGACCCCTGCTGACCCCTGCTGACCACTGCTGACCTCTGCTGACCACTGCTGACCACTGCTGACCCTTGTTAACAACTTCTCCCATGATATATATGTATTAAAACATTGTATAATGTAAATCTATGGCAATAAATGATATAATTACAAAGAATTCTATGTGTTCTCATCATTTTTTACCTTTCTTTTCCTCTCCAAATCAATACCTTAGTTATAAGACTCCCTGAAACTCCTCGGTTTCCCTGAACCCACTAGGAAGTCCTGAAACTCAGAACTTTGCTAAAAATTCAGAGTTTCCAAGAATTTTCGGCGTTTCCAAGAAATTCCAGGACGTTCCAGCTGTTTCAGGACTTTCCAACTGTTTCAGGACTTTCCAACTGGCCCGGGATTTCCAAAATTTTAAGTTGTTTCAGGACTTTCCAGCTGTTTCAGGCTTTCCCAGCCGTTTCAGGACTTTCCAAAGTTGTTTCAGGACTTTCCAAAGCTGTTTCAGGACTTCCCAAAGTTGTTTCAGGGCTTTCCAAAGTTGTTTCAGGACTTTCCAAAGTTGTTTCAGGGCTTTCCAGCTGTTTCAGGCTTTTCCAGCTGTTCCAGGACATCCCAAAGTTGTTTCAGGACTTTCCAAAGTCGTTTCAGGACTTTCCAGCTGTTTCAGGACATTTTTGGGAAATCGGCGAAATTTTCGAGCAAAAATTTTTTGACGAAAAAAATGAATTCTCGATTTTGCCAACAGGTACGAGAGTGACGGTTACAGAAAAAAAATTTAAAAGTTAATTTTTGATTTTGGCAGCAAGTACGAGAGCTGGACACTTTGGGAATCCAATTTTAACCGGAAAAACGGTCTCTTAAAACTAAGGCAATGATTTGGAGAGGAAAAGGAAGGTAAAAATGATGAGAACACATAGAATTCTTTGAAATTATTTCATTTATTGCCATAGATTTACATTATACAAAGTTTTAATACATATACATCATGTCGGAAGCGGTCACAAAGGTCAGCAGTGGTCATCAGTGGTCAGCTGTGGTCAGCAGGGGCCAGCAGAGGCATGTAGAGGCGTGTAGAGACCAGCAGGGGCAAGCAGTAACAAGTAGTAATCGTTGTACGTTGTTAGAAGTATCAGGAGTGGTCAGCAGTGGTCAGCAGCGGTCAGCAGTGGTCATCAGTGGTCATCAGTGGTCATCAGTGGTCAGCTGTGATCAGCAGGGGCCAGCAGAGGCATGTAGGGCCGTGTAGAGACCAGCAGGGGCAAGCAGTAACAAGTAGTAATCGTTATACGTTGTTATAAGTATCAGGAGTGGTCAGCAGTGGTCAGCAGTGGTCAGCTGTGGTCAGCAGGGGCCAGCAGAGGCATGTAGAGGCGTGTAGAGACCAGCAGGGGCAAGCAGTAACAAGTAGTAATCGTTATACGTTGTCAGAAGTGCCAGGAGTGGTCAGCTGTGGTCAGCAGCGGTCAGCAGTGGTCAGCAGAAGTCAGTAGTAATCGTTATACGTTGTCAGAAATATAAGCGGTGGTCAGCAGAGGCCAGCAGAGACTAGGAGAGGCTGGCAGTGGCCAGTCGTAATCGTTGTACGTTGTTAGAAGTATCAGGAGTGGTCAGCAGTGGTCAGTAGCGGTCAGCAGGAGCCAGCAGAAGTCAGTAGTAATCGTTATACGTTGTCAGAAATATAAGCGATGGTCAGCAGAGGCCAGCAGAGTTTTGGAGAGGCTGGCAGTAGCCAGTCGTAATCGTTGTACGTTGTTAGAAGTATCAGGGGTAATCAGCAGCGGTCAAAAGTACTTCGGGCAGCTTCGGAAAATCGAGACGGAGTGCTTCTGTTAGTTTGCCTTTGTCGATTCTCCGAAACTGTACAAGCTCACGTATGCGTGATGTGGCATAATGTGAGAAAGTGAAATGAGGTGCCCCCGGTGCTCCGTCTGGCATCTGGTAGCCAATCAAAGTTCAGAATAAATATTGTATAAAGTTGCATCAGTATAATAAGTACTATTATCATGTTTCGTTCGTTCTGTAGTCTTAATTATAGAAAAGACAGAAATAATTTTATTCGATGTTAAACAAATTTTTAATATAACACGCTGCTATTACGCGTCATGAAAACGCGGCATATTGATTCAACGACGCGTCACTGAGTTTACAACGCGTGATGACGTGTCTACAGTACACCACGTGAATGGAACGTAAATGACACGTCGTTTCGTATTCTATCTCACACTGCCAATAAACGTTCAAACTAACCATTGGAGGGAAGTGCACTTGTAACCGTGTTGCTTAGCACGAAGCTTGCTTCGATATTTCTTCGATACTGTTCTCGACCGTATAAAAGAACGCGTGTTAAGAAAACGAAATAAATTAAGGTTTCTTATTAATCGGTAGACATAGAGGTGACTACAGATTGTCTCCAAACAAACTTAATCGTAATCATCTGGAACTTGTCCACGGACTAACGTCAACAAATACATAAACACAATGGTGAGTATTTCGACGGGACACAATTAGTGGGTTTGATGCAGATTTCTTAACACGAAAACGCTTATTGCTATGTTTTATTTAATTTTTTCAAGCCCCCTGCACCTAGTTCTACTTCGGTCGGAGCCGCTGGTCGCTCGCCTAGCAAAGCTATAGCACCTAGAACAGGTGGTGGTGGAACTGTTAGGCAGAGGAAAACTACTTCATCCACTTCAACCAGAAATAGGAATACAGGAGCTGGTTCCGGTGGTATGTGGAGGTTCTACACGGATGACTCCCCTGGTATCAAAGTGTAAGTAAATATAATATTCAGTGGCATCTGTCACGTCTACATAAAATTGTTTTTCATCCTGAACCATAGACCAGTCAGTTACTTATAATATAAAATTTTCTTACAGAGGACCAGTACCCGTACTTGTGATGTCTCTCCTCTTCATTGCTTCTGTATTCATGCTTCACATTTGGGGCAAATACACTAGATCTTAAGTTGAATTGCGAACTCCATATAGAATTGGAGTAACCACAGAGAAATGTTACGGTATATTTAGGAAAATCTACAAAAATCTAAGTTTCTAATTCACTGAGGTAAAGGGGGAGTTCGAGCATTACTCGAGAAGACTTACTATGCTTTTAATATCATTTCTCAATTCATTTAAATGGAATCAACTACTTCCCACAAGTTGCATTTTTGTACAATGGATCTTCTACAGTTCCACTGTAATTGTTTACTTTCATCAAAACCGAATTTTGTAACATTTGTAAGATGTCTTGGAGCTAATTGTATTTACGCATAATGTACGACGGAGATAAGACATACTCGTTATTGTTTGTAATGTTACTATTAATAATATAATGTACAATATTATAATAAATTATTCTTAATTCGATTAAAAAATGTAAGATAATGAATTAATCGTTTTCTATCATTCGCTCCCGCTTGATTTTAATAAATAACACGATAAGTATTATTAAATTATGTTCGATTACCGGTGGTTCCATAGTGCGCCATGTTCCATTTGACCGGAAATTCATTCGCGCTCGCGTATACGTATTGATTCCTCGCCGAATGGGCGCGGATTGCAGCGCACGCTGCGAAAATAGAAGCGATCGTGATAAATCAATCGACATGAGGTTGAGAAATCTTGTATTGTTTTATGAAACGTGCAACTATAAAGAGAAAAGACCTTCCGTTATCTGTATAATCGTCTGCAACAGTATGATGAAAATTGCATTCGACTAAGTTTAAAATAAAATCAATGGTACCCCTTTTTATTTCGAAAATTTACTCATAGAAAAGAAGAGGGATTCAAGCTTTCAAATTTGTTCTAATTTGCTTTTTAATTAAGGTGTGCTAAATAATGCACTCTCTCCGAAGTAAAATATGCAATAAATAAATAAAACTTGAATGTATCAAATCGATCGAAATCGTAATGTAAAATACGAATAGCACGGATCACGAGGGAAAGGGCATTTTTACAAACCCTTGTAGGTCGAAGGTACGGAAATCGAGAGACCTAGTGGATCGACACCATAAGCTACCGACCAGAGGGAGACTGCTCCCAACGAGAAAAGGATCGAGCTAGAGAAGAGCGTCCGCACGACGATGCGCTCGCAGTTCGACCGTCGGCTCGTAGGCACGTGATCATGGGTTTCTCGTTTTAGACACGACATTGAATGTCCCCTCGTAGTCCTGCCGCTGCCTGTCGTCGGGACAAGGTGGAACGTCGGTGAGGTCCGCTCTCTCTGATAATTGCTACGATGAGGCTCATTTCTCTCGAGGTAATCGTTGTTTCCTCTTGACAATGCATCTCGCGCCCCTCGCACGGTGTTGGCGTGAAACTCGACGCCTCGGGAGCCACACTGTCACCCAGCGAAATGACCGCGTTACTGTCGTTTGGGAGTGATCCGGTTGAGATGTGATTTGTATTCCGCTTCGATGTGGTGGTTGTCGGTGACGGTTGTTTGTTTAACGATGAATATATCGGCGCTTTCGTTTTTTAGCGAAGCCGCTACGGTCGGGCTTGTGGACAGTGCTGGCATTGTCTGTTGTCGGAAACACTGAAGAACTCGTGTTTGACGATGTTCATGTTAAAGATTAACAAAATCGCTGGATATTGACCATACAATAACAATATACACGATATTTTGTAAAGAATATTGTTCGAATTAATTACTAATTTTCGTAATATGTATATCGGTGAAGCTTTCGAGAGGACTCGTCTATTGTATTGTTAGTTTAAAATTTAATAAAGTTTATCCTATCGCACGATGCAAAAATTTCGAATCGCAAGTTTCAAAGAACGGTGAGTAGCAGAGAATTATGATTTCCACTGATATTGATAATTATTTTTATCGCTGTAAGCATTCGATAATCTATTTATGCATAAAATATGAGGGTGTCTTAAGTGATATCAACAGTACAATCTCATTTCCGATAACTTCTCGCTTGTCGAGGAGATAGTGAACGAAATGAACTGCATTGCGACGGTCAGCGTCGCAGAAGCAGCTACTCGAATAATACTGATAAGAATCTATTTGAAAAGATCAAGGGATTCGCTATAATAACACGAAATTATTCGTAAAATAGTATCAAGACCTGTCGTTTGTAAAATAAAAAGGAAATGCAATAGTATCGGGCGTCGTGTTCATTTATCAGTATACTATCTCCGGTGTCTGATCAAAGTCCTATCTATACTACTAGCAACACAAATTACAAACACGAACTGTCAACTAAAACATCAAGCCATGGTCGAATTTAACGCAGAATAAAAATATTGTTTTTAAATAAGCGATATGAAAGGAAAATGATAGATGAACGTAAAAATAGCTACCGTTGCCTATTTATTTCACGACTGATAAAATTAAAAAATAGAAGCTCCAAGACCGTCCCTGAGGGCTAATTAATTACTTTGTCCTTGTAAAATCTCGTGGAAAAGATTTTCCGGAATAACGCAAGGGATATAAATTTCTAATGTAATGCAATGTAATGTGACGTCGTAATTAACTATTCCAGATTCGAAAATAGTTCATCCGGCGGTGGGGCGGGTAATCAACGAGGATCAATGGCGGTCGATATTTTGGACGAGGACCACTTCGCGGTTAGTGCGATCGTCACCGTCGGTATGCAGATTATATTTTTCACGATCGCGGCGACCTTCCAGCTGGACAAATTAACGGACTTCGCCGGCGGCACGAACTTTATCATCCTCGCCCTTCTCACGTTCTTTCTCGGCCAAGTGGGCAAGGTACTCTAATTATAAACTGGTTCTGCACACGTGCGCATTAAATGCACACGCGAATTGCATAAATCACGAGCCTACAATGAGAAAAGCTCGATAGGTAGAAGTTCTATCGTAAAGCGTATCGTGTCTATCGCGATCGTTTATTTCTGTAACGTCGTTTGTTCCTAAGAGACAATCGGTACACTTTGTTACGTCTATAACAATGGTACAGACATTCCCTTTAAATTCTAATGTACTGTTTTTTATACGACTCTACCAATTTCTATCTTCTGTCACATAGCCTTACGACAGTCGGCAGCTTATGGTCACCGTATTCGTCTGCTTATGGGGTGTACGTCTGTCCAGTTATCTTTTGTATCGGATTATCAAGATTGGCCGCGATAAAAGGTTCGAGGATCGCCGTAGCAACGTGATTCGTTTCGCTGTGTTTTGGACGTTTCAGGTAATAGCAATCGGTCGAACATAAATTTTCTCTTGAGATTTGATCACTTTGTCTATTTTTTAAACTACAGGTCCGATCTCTTAATTTTGAAGTAATAGAAATGAGAAGGAACACTATTTTTTTTTGCCCGTATACCGCGGGTGTAAAAATTTTCTTTTTTTTTTCTAGGAGAGTGCCCTCCAAAAAATAGGGAAACACCTGGCCTAAAGTATAAAAGTATTGAACCATCATCGTTAAGAATCACCTAGGTGTAGTTGGTGTGACACAAATAAATCTTTAAAAGAAATTGTAAAATTCCCTAGTCTCACTAGATGATCTTTAATATCTGCTGTTCGATTTATGTAACATCCAGAACCATTTGTCAGAAACAATGTTACTTATGATGCAGTACTCACTGCCAAATATGCTGCTATTCTATTGATTTAGATTGAGGTTGCCAAATAGGAATATATGTATCCCGATATGCAGGCATTCCAATAAAATTAGGCTTCACGACCTGAATGCAGTATCAAAATTCAATATAGCTTGTGGAATGACGAAGTTAATAAATAAATTCAGTCGATTCGAGCTATTTGAATAAAACCAATAAAAATAGTGATTGTAATCGTTCTGAATAAAATAATACATTGAAAATCTAAAAGCTGTTTGAATCGACTGAAGACTAATTATTAATGGATGTACCTAGTAGTATCGAAACTATGAAACTTAGATATCACAATCTGAAGATGCAGCACTTTCGATAATGGTGTTATCCATACGCGATACTGTATTGAATTATTTTCAGCTAATCAGAAACGTGTTCACAGGCGGTATGGGTGTACGTGGTAAGTCTACCAGTGATCATCATCAATTCACCGCGGCACAAAATTCCCCCGGCTCCCAAAACTATGACATCCTTGGACAGCGCCGGCACTGGTCTCTTCATCACCGGATTACTAGCCGAGACGTATGCCGATTTGCAGAAATTTTCTTTCAAACAGGATCCAGTGAATAACGGAAAATGGTGCAACGATGGTATAATTTTTATATACAAGTCCTAGAGCATTCTAACATTCGATCTCGTTGTTGATCAATTGTTACATTTTGTTGTAGGTTTATGGCGACTGTCCAGGCATCCAAATTACTTTGGAGAGATAGTAGTATGGTGGGGAATTTTCGTGATATCGTTGAATGTAATTGAAGGCGCCGAGTGGGTCGCTATAGCTTCTCCGATTTTTACAACTTTCATCATTCTATTCTTGTCCGGAATGCCTCTGTTGGAAAGAGCCTCCGACGAACGCTATCGAGAGTAAGTATCCAGTTTTCAGCATGTGTAGATTTCCTGGTAGAATCTCTAAATGTTCAGACTGTTGTTAAGATCTTCGTTGTTTGGTTGTTTTCCAGCAATGCGGAGTATCGTTATTACAAACAGTCGACGTCGCCTCTGATACCAATACCGCCATCGATCTACGTCGAAGTGCCACATTTCTTGAAATGTCTCTTCTGTTGCGAATTCCCACTTTACGATTCATTGAACGTGAAACCACGGGCTGCTGTCACCGAGTCAACATCGATAAGCCTTGCCGCGTCCACGTAGCTATAGCCACACGCCGGACGTCCAAACTCGGAGTCCGGCGTGCAGTCGAATGCAACGGCCACGGCCAGCACAGCCTTTTAAACAGGTTGATTCGACTATTCGCATCTCGCCGCTCGAACGATTCTTTAGAATTATCCCTCTCGCCTGAGAGCGTGATATTTCGAACAGAAGCTGTGGAATTCTAGTCAAAGATCGAAGTATGTATCAAGTTTTATGACACTGTGTGTCTATCGCGTTGATAGAGACCTGAGTATCCAAACTTATTGGATCGCAGTGGCGACACAACTTAAATCAATGTTTTCCAAAGTACAGGGAGAGGCCGCAATATGTTTGTTACAAAACAAATAATTTAAACGTTTTCCTTCTTAAGATGTGTTTCGAATCTTAAATTGCTTAAAAATGAGGCGCCATCCAAACAAAATTTGGAAACCATTGATTCAAACTGTTTGATTATACGGAAAGAATTTAAATCTTGTTGTTCTAAACTATAGTTCTTGACTCGTTGAATAATAATTCGAGTGGATTTAAGATGTCCTTCATTGAAGTATTATCCTTAAGCATTGAAATTATTTATTTATGCTTTATTTTTGTAGTCTTCCCCCCCTTTAAATGTTGATTTACCGAAAGAAATAAAGAAATGTGTATTTTTATTATGTATTTTTGCATTTGAGAGATCGTCAGCTCCAAATGGCATAGAGCTGTTTGCATTTTTAATCTAAGGGATTATTTATGATTCTCATCACGCTAGTTGTAATTAGTTCATTGATCGTGTTAATTGCAATAGAATTTCTTACAATTCGAGAAGCAATTACTAATAAATGGTAAGTTAAGGCGATGCAGAAAATGCAGAACATTTTGTCAAGTAGAAAAACAGAAGTAAAATAATTACAACAGTTGTGTGTATTACAATATTTTAAATATATAAAGAAAAAAATCAAAGGTGGCAAGCTGAGAAAATTTTAGATTTGTACATTGAATTGAATTTAATTACGAACAAAATTTATTTGATGCTTTTTACTGAACCGAAAGAAGTTAATAAACTATTAAAATTTACAATATCTCAAGAAGAGAATTGTAAAAGATACTAGAGAATAAATAAAAAATTTGAATTACCTAAGGAATTAGGTTCGTAATTACACTACCTCGGGTATGATGCTCTCGATTTGGAGCCGAGTTCATTACGATGTTTAGACTAATAGTTAGATTAATAAATATTACGGAAGTAAATATGCGATACACTTGAAACTAAAAGCTTCATAGTTTACACGAAAACTTCCAATGAAAATATTAGAAAATAGTATGTAATATGCACTAATTGTTATAATTTTAACTTCTACGTGTTTTCTCCCAATTAATAATTGTTAATGCAAAGTATTTTTTTTTTCTGCGTAAGACAAAATTCAATTTCGGCGAGAAAGAGGTGATTACGGCGCTGTTAACACCTTAATAATTTCCAAATATAATTGAAAATATTTTTGGACCAATAGGGACCATGTATTGTAGAATGCTTATGTCTACTTTTACATATCTAGTAACCTGATTTCAGAAAACTAACTTCCCAACCACTAAAGTTACTTAATGTTCCCTTATAAGTCTGTTGACATATTTTCTATAGGTATTGCAATACAAAATTAAAAATCACTTCAAAATAATGTGGCTGGAAGAAAATTTAGAAGAAGCTTACAGTGTATAGAAAGCAAATCGATGTTTCACGAAAACCGAATATTGATCTCTTAATATACAAACATCTTTATTACCATAGTAAATCTTACACTAATTTTGATACACATTCCATTCTACTGATTTCCAAAAGAAAATTGCACACCTTTTATTACATCTTACCGAATCCGCTCTTGTATATAACATATTAAATTGATTAAACATTAAATTATAGCAATATAAAACATATCCCAGTGCCGAGTAGTAAGTTGTTAAAAGGGTTCAGCGATAATTAATAAACAAAGAGTATTATTAGCTGTATTCTTCTAAAAGTAATTCACTACAAGAGTTGCTTTTAACTCTTCGTCGTAATGATGTCAAATTAGTTAGCTGTTACCTATTTTAACGTTTGAGAAAGAATACAGCTATAGTTGAAAATTGCGCCAAATTAGACGTAAAATGTTGCATTACGAACGATCCTCAGGAATCGTTTCGACCGTTTGTTGTTATGTAAACCTTCAGATTTTAGATAATAAACAACAGTTGGTCCAATTGTGCTTTTATTTTACCCGAAAAATTCACCCTCCATCGCTAATTAATACCATTGTGTTTGTCGTAGAAGTTTGCAATTATACTATGTATTCATAGTTGTTAGTATCTGCATTTAAGTTCACGAATTTTTGTATTTTTCGATCGGTGGTCCAATTTATTAAAATTATATAAATTTCTGTCGTTTCAATAGACTGTCTTTATTTGGAAATACCTATTATCATTCGATACTCCTGTTAACCTATTGTTGCAAAATATTCCTATCCTACTAATTTCTTGCCAGCGATCTCTATTATTATTGTAAAAATATCAGAGCATTTTTACCGAGATTTAGAAAAGTAGTGGCACGATATTACTTTGAATTGCATAGAATATAGGTTATGTGACGATTAATTGATGTATCGTTTCCAAAAATTATTGATAAATAATTAATTTTAATGAAAATCTTAGGAAAAATGATCCTCGAGTGCTGCCATGGACTTGTACACCACAACGCAAATGTAAAAACATATAAATTGTTGATCAAGTCAACTACTCGAAAATATTTCGTATTTATTTATCTTATAACGAAATATAGGTAAAAGAATTTATTAATTTTCAATCGAGCGTCGAATTTACTCAAATTGGCAGAAATTTAGACCTACCTCTACTTTAATTCTGTGTTAATATGGAAGCACTATTTTCTATCATCATTACACAGTGTTCCCGCCTTTTTCTAGCTGCTTTCGATGACCTCCACCATCATTATATACTCCTATTGACAATAATTGTATTTCTAACAATAATTCAGAAAGTTAGTACCCGATATTATTTCGAATCACATAGGTTATGTAATTATTTAAAGGATCGAATAATGAAAATATTAAAACATGACTACTTTGTTGGGATAAATAAAATTCAGAAGATCATGAGCCTGAGAAAGTTGGGAAACACTGGTATACGTTACCTGTTATTCAGAATAAAATAGAACGAAATAAAATGGAAACATCGGAATTAACTAAAATGTAATGTGATAATAAAAAGTATTTAAAACAATGCTAATCAAACTGGGTCAATCAATAAAGATCGATAAATTTCGTAAAGATCACATTATATTTATAAACACATTTTATTTGTTCGTATGTATATCGTTAATAAATGGTGATATAATAATGACAATGAAATGTATAGCGCCGAGCATAAAACGAGCAGTCATATTATAATTATTATTAATATTCCTCTTATAATAATCTTACTGTACTGGATGTTCCTACCTACTGTGCTTGCAACGTTTATGGTCTTGTCCAAGTGTTTTTTCGTCACTAATTTATTATTATTTACTCGTACTTCGTAATAATCCGTAATAATAATGTAACCACGGGTGTAAACGTATGCGTTGTCCTAAGTATAAACAGTTTCCACACACTAATTGTTACTTTTTCCATCTTTTTTGTTCTCTATGTAATCGTAATATCATCATTAATAATAGTAAGCTACTTAAATATTAATATATATCCTCGTGTCTTCGTGGAATATTTTGCGGCCGCTTTGGTGCGCGGCCTCGTACAAAAAACTTCAATTCCCGTTCGATAACATTATACATCAAAATGTCAGTTTCATTTTGTTTATTTTTTTTATTTTTTTTTTTTTCGATGCGTGAAAGACACTTTGTATAATTACGTAATGTAAAATTTCTCACAGGTCCGAGGAAAAAGTCGTCTAATAATAGTGAACTAATCACGGGGCAGCACAGCGTTCTTTCTTTTATTATTATTTTTTTTCTTCTTTTTTTTTCTTCAAATATACCGAAAGGAAACCCAGACAGAGGAGATCGATGTTTGCCTGTGCCTCTTTTCTTGTCTCTTTCTTTTCGTTTTGTGGAAAGAAAAAGGTAGAAACAAAGACAGTCGTATCCGCTCGGGGGACGTCGACGCGCGGGCATCGCCTCTGCAACGACGCTTTTACTCGAATCGCATCCGCGTATATGTAATACAAAATATCTATATAATAATATACAAATTAATCGTAAATATAATATTTGCCGTCGATCCGTAATCGCAAATGAGTCTTCGCTCGTCAGGACGTTGTCAATAAAATCGTAAAAGCAGTCGACCCAATAGCGCAAGTTATGCGCGTGGGAATGAGAGTACTCGATGAGTCCGTGAAGTTAAAATATACGTTTTGCTCCGAGGTCGATAGCGATCGAAGCAGTGGCCGTATAAAAAGACAAATTACAAAGCAACGACCGCCCACCTTCTTTCTTTTTATCTAAATATTTCTTCGCCAATCTGATGCATATCGACTCGAGGACTCTAAATCTCCGATCATCGCCGCGGAAAGCGATTCCCTAGAAATTATTCGAGCACCAATGTATCAGAAAGGAATGTGTTTTGCGTGTGTGAACGCGTATGAGTGGTGACTCGAATCGACGTGTGTTGAAAGGATGATATTAAAAGGGCCCCTCCATCGAACGGCGATTCGAAACGCGAATAGAAATTAAAAGAAAAAGCACGACCGAAACGAAGATCATCATAATGTGATATACGGTACGTTGCTTGGAACGCTAGGTACATAACTCATTTTGCACAGTAAGAGCCAATGGTAGAAGCGACCGCAAGACGCGCTTTTCTCCCTGAATCGGGATCAGGGGGCGGCTATTTCGTGTATCGCAACCATAAACGATCTCGCTCTTCTTCGTAAACTACTACCACACCGTACAACACCACCTTCGCGGCGGTACGATTCCGCATTTTGGCCACTGTTCATAAAGATCTCACACCTGCGTCAGGCTATTGCATTTGATATATTGCAAACCTACAATTCTAATGACTTATGTGATAGCCCCGTTCTGTTGCTTTTTTTCTTTTTATGTTTTATGCCGGGGGGGAGGAAAAAGGGCCCTGGGTCGGAAACAGTTGTTCGATTCGGGTGTGCTGGGGTGTCGATGAGAAATGGCGTAACGTGTTGAACGTATATAAACGAAGTATTTAACATTATGAGTCTATTAATATCTATACGTATAAGTAGAGAGCTCTAGACTTGAATCCCCTCCCCTTTCTTGCACTCTCGTCGGATCCTACCTCCTCTCGTGCATTCTCCCCCTTTCCCCCATCTATCCACTCTCATGCTCTCTACACCGTCTCTCGTTTTCTCCATTTTCGTCGGTCATTCGCGCAAAACCGTTCACGCGCACATACACACACGCATACGCTCAACATACATGCATCCTTACCCACCCTTTCCGCATCTCTCCTTTCTCCCCCCACCGTATCCAGATCACACCCTCAATTTTCCACAGTTAAATCTTCTTTTTCCTTTGAACGATTTATTTGTTTCCTGTCGCCGCGCGACAGCTTATTTCCCCTCTTTCTCCTTTTCTTTGTTCTCGTCAACCTCTTTGTCTTTCTCCAGCTCTTTCTCTTCCTTATCCGCTTTCTCCTTGTCCCCCTCCTTCTCCTCCTTCGATTCTTTAGACTCCTTCGCTTCCTCCTTGCCCTCCTTCTCCTCTTGCTTCTCCGGCTTCGGTAAATGCGTGTTCATGTCCAGCGTGGAGCAGATCTCGTCCCAATCCGGGAAGCATCGTTCCTTCACGCGCGAGCTGTGCCCGACCAGGTTCGGACAGTTCTCCTGCATGTAATCTCTCAGACTGTACTGCGTGTCTTTGTCAATATAAAGAATCTGGGCAAGGTGCGCGAACGCTACAACGTCCAACTGTTGAATATACAAAACACAATTATAAAATCAGTTTCTGGGTCAGTGTATTTTTTTTTTGTAAAGCTTGAGGTCTCTGCAAGTGTAAAATCTACCCTGTAACAGTCTGGTCAAGACAACCAACAAACAACGATGGCGACTGGAGAAAATACTTTCGTATCCTCGTTGACTCTTTACTTTAACTGAACTTAAGTTTTATTAATTAACTCTAATTAGAAAGGTTAACGTTGAACTCTTACAATAATCGTCGAAGCAAAGGGCAACATTCGCTCGAGAGCGAATGTAAAATATATCCTACCGTAGTTGGCTCGTCTCCAAAGAAGAAGGGTTTGTCAGCAAGCATGTCGGAGAGAACCTTGAGATCATCGCAACCAAATTGGGACACTTCTTCGGGGGTATGCACTCCCATACCCTGCGCCTTCACCTTTTTCGCGCTCTGTAACAAATCCCACTACATTTCACTACGGATGGTCACAACACTCTGTTCTATACATGCAATTTCTTCGAAAAATTTATTCGATGCTTATAAAAAAATACAAAAAAAAATCAGCGAGAAATTTCAGTCCCGTTGAAAAGATGGTTGTACAAAGAAACGTGATCGAACCCGTATTGGATTCTTTTTGAAATTTACCTTGCGACCGAATGTAAGCTTGAAGAAGAAGTTTAGAATTCCGTTGGGGATGCGGGTACCAAGGACGTGCTGAAGGTTCACTTTGTAACCCTTCAATACTTGATCGAGATTCTTGGTGCGCCAGCACATTACCACCCACACCAAGTGATTCTCGATCATCGATATCATCGCGTGCGAGACGCTTCGTTGTTCGGACGTGAGGCCAGCGTCCAGGTCCTTGCTGAATTTCTGGCTCAGTTCACGGAGGATGATCGCGCTGTCCGCGATCTCCTCCCCGTTTAGCTCGATGAACGGTAACACGCCCTTCTTGGAACGGAATTTCATTTTGTGGTCCACATTCTGAAAGAACGAACGAACGAAAATTAATATATGTCCGACCCTCCTTTCGCGCGGTGTAGAAATATTATTACAAGGAGTTATAACCATACGAGATAAAACTTAAAACCTGAACAAACATAATAAGTGAAACAGGCGATGATATATGGTGACCGAGACAGTAAAATCACGTACGCGTGATAGCGGCCGTCAAAGTGTTAACCACCCATCTTCCCGGGCGAAGGAATCAACGGATGCAATAAATACGATATCGTTTCTCGCATTTGTCAGCAGATGGCTTCCCCAGCAATCCCCATTTTTACAAGTCTTTCGTAACAATTCCTATACATCATATCGGTTTCTCGGGATAGACCCTTTTTACCCTGACGTCGAGCATCCTTGACCTTAAGGGTCGTGTTAGGGTTATCGAAGAGTCACTTCAGCTTTTCTTTCTCTTGCTGCCCGTTATTCTTGCCTTCCAACGTAACCTGAGCATCGAATATAATTTCCTACGATTTCTCAAAATTCATAACACTCAAACCTCTAAACAAATCAGCGATTTTTAGCGAACTCGAAAATTGTTTCTTTTTAAACAATTTTGAGAAGTGAAACTTGTAGAAAGTTATATGTATGTATATATATACATTAGAGCGTACAGGGTGTACTCGGTATTCAATGCAAAGTATCCTTTGCCGAATGGATGTAATTTGCATTGAATATTTACCATACAACGCTCAAAAGCACGTATATACGTGTGGGATCGGAAGCCCCCGCTGTACGAGTCTGCAGTCGCGGAAAAAAGATTGGAAAAAGCAACGAAACACCAAGAGGTTTCGATGGCGCGACGGGCAAGCGCGTTTGCCTTCTGAGCTTCGCTGTGCCTACAGCATCGTGTTCGAATCCCCGAAGCGGATCTTTTATATTTTTCCAGAGCAGCAGCACTTAATGAGAATTTACTCTCAAATAGGGGAAAACGAGAGACGAGAAAAGACTAATAGCGAACGGTTTATTTTCGAGCAATACATATTTTTAATCGGTGCACAGGAAGTATAAGAATCGCACCTGCAACAAACGTGTGTTCTATTTATACGCGTCGATGCCACACACCGAGCGCATCATAAGTCAATAAGATATCTGGTGTCCTTTACAGGTGGATCAAGTTGCGTCGGTAGTGATAAACGACTATTATACCCCGTTGCAAGAAGATTTCACGCGTATCGTTCCTATATCTATCAATTCAATGAAACGCGATGAATGTATGTGCACCTTGAAAATAATAATTAATGTAGGAAAATAAAATAACGAGATACATTCCCCGCATTCAGCGGCCCTCATTAATATTGTAACAATGGAGTTTTAACAAACGTTCAAGTCGATACGGACGTACTCCACTTTCTTCAAGCTATATAGTTTACAATAGCGATTTAAAACAGTGTCAATGAGAATATCTCCATTGCCTAGATTTCACCAAAGCACATAATAAGAAACTTTCTAGGCGCTCCTCGGTAGCCATCTGTTAACACATTTCGTTACGAATCCACGGGGTTCTGGAATCCACTTTAAGTAGGTGTCCAATTATGACCCCGGAGATACACGGTGGAATTTAAATCTGCATTACGTTGTTGCATATTAAATTACGGGTCCACGAGTAAATATTTAAGTTACTAGCATTTTTCATATCTATGTATTCAGTTGTCTGTGGAGACAAAGATTTGCCCAACCTTGCTCGCAATAAAGATGGAAAAAGCATTGAAATATCTTACAATTTGTATAAGAGCTTTCACGTTAATGCGGGATTCTGCCTTCGCGGCACGAATCCCTCCGAAACTACAATCTTCGACATAAAATTCTTAACCACTCCCTCTTCGGACAAAGCCGCTCGTCGAAACAGCCCAAATATATGGCATGTGTAATTGTATACAATCACCGCTTGGCGTCGCTGACGGTTATCGACCCGAAACGTCACGAAAGACGGACGCAATCAAAGAAATGCCGAGAAACATTTCTTTACGTCAATCACAATCGACAAGTGGAAGAATGCCGTATCACCGGCGTCGTCTATACAAATCACCTGAATTAACCGTACAATACGGACGACGGAGAGACCGGAGCATCGAACCCGGTCTCACGAAAAGGGGAACAATGTCGCGATATACGTGGGAACACCTCTTCGGAAAGAGCTCATCATCGCCGTTAATCAGCGAGCGTCGAACGCAGCTGCGACTTGGTCGAAAAATAAACGAAAATAAGTCGTGTAAGAAGATCCCAGGGCATACGAGCACGGTACGCATCTCGGTGTGAGTGATAATAGCGATGGAAGGCGACGACGTCGTCGTTGACGACGACAACGATGACGACGGAGGTGCAACACGCCTGTTTTGCAATGCGAGTGCGTCGGTGATAATGGCGAGTAACGAACGGGTGGTACAAGGGGATGTGGAAGTGGATGCGGGAGGAGAAAACGAGGGGAAGCGGAGAGCGGCAGAGGATGTATGCCAATGTGAATTCCAGGGACGAGAAAGAGTCCGGAGAGAGAAATGTTCGAACGAGAAACAGGGACGGAACGAGGAGGGGCAGAGAAAACGAGAAAAAAACGGACGAACAATCGAGGGGAGAGAGCAAACAGAAAAAAAGAGGAGCTTAAACGGAGGACCGAGAAAAAAACGACGCGCGCAACAGTAGTCGGAAGAAGAGAAAGACGGACGGTGTCTCGCTAAAATATAGGAAACGTGCATTAGTCTGAACATTGAACTCGTTAAGTTGGAAACAATATCGGTGCTCGTCCGACGACAGTGGAAAAGCAAACAGAAGAAAGAAAAGGGGGGGGGAAAAAAAAACGAGGGACGACGCGGAGGCGCAGCCGGCTACGAAGCCGTACTTGAACACGGACAACGGCTTGACCAGAGCGCGAAAATCCGATACGCCGGAAATTAAATATCCTTCGGCGTAAAATCGATGAAGCGGTCGGTACTGATTAATTCGCGAGTGCCCACGCGTCTGCGGATGGTGCTGCCATCGTTTCGCCGCGCCGACGATCGTTAAAACCTCCGCGCGCCCGCTCAAAACTGCATAATAATCGTAGAATCGCGCAGGGATCTCCGCTCGCGGAGACGCGCGTATCAATTCGAAGAGATGAAAAGTTGAGTGGAGGCAGACGGTAGGCGGAGTAAAAATTACTGCGGGGCAGTTGCCCTACGCTTGCCATTTCAGCCGAGTCAAATACACGCACGACTATGCGCTTGCGCGTACGTATGTTTACTTGCAAAGCGAGGGGCGGGGGGGGGGCAAGGTTTGAAAGAGTACAATAGATAAATTCGGGGGTGCCCAATAAGTCAAATTATACGTATGGTACTTCTTCGAATTTACTTTCCATCTTCCAGCAAGAAATAATCTCTGGTTGTATCGTTGGATAGGCTTGTGTAACGCGAGTAACGAGGTGGGAGAAGGGTTAAGTGAATCGATAAGACAGATTCTACGGAGGAAAAGATCCTAGGAGTCCCGAAGATGCCACGGGGAGACGGAAAACCGCACGCAGCGGCAAGGAAAGTTTGAAAAAAGATAACGAAACGAAGCTATCGAGGAGAAGACCGCGAGGGAAAAAGGGAGCGAGAAGAGAAACTAGAAAAAACGGGGAACACACCGAGACGAGCGAAACACAGGGGGAGCAACAGCGAGGAAAGTACGAAGCCCGAATAGAGAGGGAGGAGAAAGGAGAGAACAGATTGAAATGGGAGGGAGAACGCAGAAGAGAAGCCAGAGAGGGAATCAGGGAGTGGTATAACGGCGTAAAGGGGTAGGGGGGGGGAACGCGTGGGGTTAGAGGGAGAGCATGAAAAACGAGAAAGAGCGAGAACAAGACAACGTCGAGCGAGGAGACCGAGAAGGATAAACGGAGGGTGAATGGGTGGGTGGAAGGGAGAAGAAACAAGCTGGAGGACGATGAACTCTGGCGGTAGGCAGCTTCCGTCGCCTGGCAACGTCCTCCCCCTCCTCCGCCACCACCTCCTCCTACTCCTCCGCCACCTCCTCCCTTTTTCTCCTCCTCACCCTGAGGCTCCCAAGCCGTTATGTCGTGGTATCGTACGTAGGCAGTCCTCGTCATGGACGTAGTAGTCGTGTCATCGTCTTCGTCGACGACGATCATGGTAGTCGTTGCCGTATTTCCACGTAGCCGTGGCACGCAGCTTGCGCTGCGTATTGATCGTACGGGATGCTGCTGCCGGTTGCTGGCTGCTTCAGCGCCGGCCAACTGGGAGCTTTAGTCACAGCCCTACAAAGGGCCAATAGGACCCCCTTGGCTTTCTACTTGGCTTGCTCGCTGCGATCGACGCCCAAAAACGAAAGCAAACGCGGCCGACTACCGCTGTCTTTCTTCCTCGCTCTGTTAGCCAGTAGAACGAACTTTTTACCGTTAACTCGGTTGTAAATGTTCATCTGCGATATTGGAAGAGGATTATATACACGCACAGCTTTGCAACCGTACGGATGACTGGCGCGTTTAACGCGTTGTTTGTTCCGTTTAACGCGCTCGAGACCGATGTATTATTCCGAGACTATCACCGGTAGTCAACATTTTTCGCAATTCTCTTCTGACCCACATGCTGCGTCCACTGGCTATCGAAGCGTGACATTGCATGACTCACATGTCTGTTAAAATGTTTGTACCTGTTGGTCAGAGTTAATGGCGTTGCTATCGATTATCGATAAGTTATCGATATCTTAATGATATTATCGATATATCGAATCGTCTGTAACGTTTCGATATTATCGATAGCAACACCTCCAGTCGATACCAGTGTGACATTTTGTTCGATTAAATCTCGACGTACGACGAGTTGTGCAACGGCTTCCACGCGCTTCGCAATTAAAAAAATGGTTATGTCTGTGGGCCTCGTTATACCGACCCGATGTAACCAGACGTTCGGGATTGCTCGTGACAGTCCCGGATTTGCCATATCCTCCCTGCACTAATCGCTTTTCTAGACGTTAGATGGCTGGCAATTACGTGCACACGGTTGACCCGA